CTTCCATCTACCATTTTGTATTCTTATCACAAAAGTGTATCCTTAACCGCTTTGATAACAGTACATTTATATGCTCCACAGTACGTAAATAACATACAATACTTTGGGCGTGGTACGATGACACAAAGAGCCCTCACATACGCCAGGCAACTCATCGTAGATCCACAGAAAAGGGAAAACGTCAACTGTACGGTTATAACGATGACAGACGGAGTAACCTATGGGGGGACTGCATTTCTTGAAGAGCCTGCAAAACTCTTAAGGGTAAAAAATATTCTAATCTTTTCATATATTTTGGGACTATATCCTTTAAAGTGCAACTGAACTCTTTTAGAAAATCATTTTTTTTAAAAAGGCAAATATGATGCTAATCATTGTCTTGAAGAAAGAAAAGTTGTTTGAATTCTATTTTCTGAGTTAAAGGCATTTGAAAATTGAAAATGCTAATGAAGTGCCGTCAATTAAGGAATTGGGCTGGAGGTTTTTCATTGTTTGCGATATCTTGTGTTCGGTTACGATTAGTTATTGAGTGAAAAAAGTGTAGATGTATGTTGACCAAAGGAACAAAGCTGGTTAAGTAAACTACTCATTTATGTCACCTTTTAAAAACTCGACGCTTGAAGCTTTTACGTCACATACCGTATGCTCAATGCATTGTGGGATATGTTTGGCACAACACGGATTTTAGGACCGTAGCTAGTAAGATGCCAACCGAGGCACTCGCCTCGGTAAAATCTTGCCGATGGTTTTTGTTTTTCATCCCTGATATCATCTTAGCCTCTCAGAGCCGATTTCGTACGAGTGATTTTGTGCAAAAAATATAAAAATAATATTAATTATGTACTTACAACTTCTTTGTTTTATAAATATTGCATGACAAATTCCGGTTAAATCTGTTGAATAAAGAGTTACCAAAAGGCCAACAAAACGCTAACAAAGTGCATTTTAAAATTTTCTCGGGGGCGGAGGGAATGCCTGGAATTCTTCCGTTTTGTCCAGAAACTGATCCCACAATGCATTGGTAAATCAAGTAGGTGACGTCAGTAGTCTTTTTCATCACTGACATCATTTATCATGAAGAGAAGTAGTTCAGGTTTGCCACTGCCTTGCTTGTAATAATAATATTAAATTATGGTGAAATACTTCTTAAGGCATAAGATAACTTTATTCTAGTTGTGTCCACTGATGAAGCCTGAAAAGGCGAAAAGTTTGGAATAAAGTTATCTTATGCCTTAAGAAGTATTTCACCATAATTATTGTCATTTGTCATGCGTCAACAGGCCAAATGTAAAATGGTGGCTATAGGGATTGGGGACTATGATAACCATGAGCTAATGGAGATCACTGGTCAAGTCAGTAACAACACCATCACGAAGGAAAATTTCAATTCCCTCGAATCTGATATGGGCAACGTCATCYTGAACRTACTAGAGAAGTCATGCATTTAAGACT